CTCACTGCAACCTCCGCCTCCTGGGTTCAAGCAATTCTCCTGCCTCGGCCTCCCAGGTAGCTGGGATTACAGGCATGCACCACCACGCCCAGCTCATTTTCATATCTTTAGTAGAGATGGGGTTTCACCATGTTGGCCAGACTGGTCTTGAACTCCTGACCTCAGGTGATCCCTCGCCTCAGCCTTCCAAAGTGCTAGGATTACAGGTCTGAGCCACTGTGCCCGGCCCTCATTCTTTAAAAAGATAGAACATTGTTCTGTAGAAAAATGCTTGGCTTTCCCATCAGGAATGAATGCCACAAAATTTAAACGAAATAGAGATCAAACAATAGAATACATGTATATTTTTAAGACTGCTACCCTGCTTATTAGATCTGCTACTTAATTTCCATTAGTCATGTCCTAATTCCCTGACTTTTTTTTTTTTTTTAAAGACTGTGAATATAAGGGTTATCGCTTTCTTTATAATTGAGTTAATTGAAAAGTGGAAAATTCCAGTAGCTAGATGGGTATGGGCTCGTTTAACAGCAGGAAAGGAGATAGGGAGAGTTCTTAAGACCTATTCAAATAAGCTTATTTTATGTATTGGAATCCCTACACTCACCGATCCTAGTGAAGAAAATAAAGGAGGTAGGGGTGTTTCAGGAATAATTACAGTAGTCTGCCTCTAATACTATTATTGAATATTATTAATACAGATGTCATAAGAATAGTCATGCAGACACAAATTCAAATCTGGGCTTGTAGGGAGCAAAAGTTTAGATGGATGAGAGGAACACTCACCCTTGGTCCCTGAGCTCCAGTGTCCCCTTTGTCTCCACGATCCCCCTTTTCCCGTTGGAAAGAGAAAAAACTTAATTAGAAGTGGGGAAGTCTAGAAGTGGGGAAGTCTAGAAATCTCTCATCTAAGAATGTATTTACACCATACAGCAGCACCTTTAATATGAACTTCTGAAGTGAAAAACAATAGCAGCCACCACCAAAATGGCAAATGCTTTTTAAAGATGCAGGTTGAAAATAATTAAAATTCCTTTTTAAAAAAAGACTCCCTTTTCAGGCAATACAGTATCTTGAAATAACAATATATATGGTAACGGTCCCACGAGGTAGGATCTGCAAAAGCAAAACAATGGTTTCTACGGAACCCAAAGTAAGCTTTTACCTTGCAGATTGAGCCACATTCTTTCTTTAACATCAAGAGACTTAGGGCAAAGGGAAAAAGAGCCAACAATTGTGTTGTCTGTCCTCTGAGAAGAAAAGTATAGATAATTGGGACAGGAAAGGAGTAGACAGTTCATTCTAGGGAGAATTAGGAAAGGAAGGTCACAGGCTAGGCCTCCCTCTGATGCTGGGGATCTAGGGAAAAGTTCATCTGTTGGTATAGGCATTTTAACACTCAGACTGTGCTTAAGTGGACAGCAGCCAGCTGGAACAGGTTGGCAGGGCTGAAGGTCAAGGGCAGGGCAAACCCAGCTCTCTCTCTTTTTTCTAGTGCAATATGAAATTTATCTGAAGTTTCATTGATGGTGGCATTACCTCAACTGTAGAGACGGCAGGAATAGTCTAAGCCCACAAAATTCTTAGAAATGTAAACTGAAACTTTGGAGAAGAGATTTGAACCTGTATAGATTTAAAGGTTCTTTAAAACCACCTTAAGTTTATGGGTCCTTTTTCTGTATAAACTTCAAAGCATTTTTATACATCTTTCTACAGATTCCTATAAACCAGGTAAGGATGAATGAAGATAAGCAGGAAAATGGATTATAATTTTTCCCATCTGCGTTATGCTAATAACATTGATCATAATAAATTTGCCATGAATGAAGCATTAATAATCTTTGCTCTCTGTATTCTTCATCTTGCACACATTTTTTCCATAATAGTAGCTAATAGCATTTTAAATAACATGATTCTGCTGACAGTATATATGTTATTGCAGATAGTATAAAGAGTATGATATAGAAGAGAATTTCAATTGGCAGTAAAATTTTAATGCAACAAAGGGAGTTAACTAAAAAGCAGAGTATAATCTGAGCATTTATCACAAAGGTAGCTGGGAAATAAAAAATAAGATTATATAATACATAATTTAAGGAAAGTTCTTATTTTTTTTCTAAGAAGCTATTTCTATGAAATAGGAAATGCAACTTCTCTTAAAGAATTTTCTGAAGCAGAAGACTATGCAAAAACAAGCAAGATGAAACAAACCCATTGTTTTGAAATATCATCATAGAGATACTGCAATCCCTTTTGCAATAATTATTGCAATCCCACTGTATGAAAGAGTTTAATTAAAAACATGAAAAACATGCCTCTGTGGCAAATGCAAAAAGCACAGATCTTGAAGGCCTCATGTCATATTTAAATGGTTATCTGGTTACTGACCTTTGACCCCTTTGGGCCTCTAGTTCCTGATTCACCTTGTTTCCCCTATTACAGGAGAATAAGAGGGTGAAAAAGATAAAATGATAGAGGAGATAAGAACAGAAAAAAAGAAATTAGCAGTGACTCAGAATAACGAAGAAAAATGGAAACACTTTATTTTAACTGCCTCAATATATGTCTCTACAGAATGTTGTTTATTATAATACTAAACATAAATATCATCACTATCTCATCGGTTCATTCCATTATTATTCTGAAGGCTGCCCTCCCATCAGTGGATGAGAAGAGCTCTGTGAATAATTCTCAATAGTCTCAACAGTGTTTGCCTGCATCAATTTCCTTTTCACCAGAGAGTAAATCATTTCCTGTGTCTCCAGGATGGGCTATTAAAATAAAGTGTGACCACGTTAGTTTGCAGGAAGTTTAAATGAATAATGTTGAACAGTCAAATAAATCCTTAGCTCTAATATTTTCAAGGTGTTACACTCCATCAAGTCACCATAGAAACTAATACAGCACTTATCAACAGAGATTTTTTTCCTAAGTTTTAATACACATTGAGTGATAATGTGTTAATATAACAGCACTTCTACATTTGGATAGGCTGTCAATTTGCTCACTGAACAGAGTAAACAGAGTGAGATGAATTGTAAAATATTCTCTTTTGAAAAGAATCAATTGGTGTGCATTTCAACAAACTATTTGTGATTTGAGCTGTTTATATTTGAATATAAAATTTTTTATTAACTTTATATATCATGGCATTAACAATACTCATAATTACTGATGAATGTAAATGGCCATTATTTATTAAGTACCCTTCTATAAATTCGGATTTTAGCATCTAAGAGGAGCTAGTAATTTGCTTAGGTCACATAGCTGCAAAGTGGCTAAGCTAGGATTGGACTCAGGTTCAACTTGCTCTCCATGGTTTCCCTTTGCTTGGAAGACAATCCCAAGACTACCATGGCTTACAGGGAAGTGGATGGTCAGGCCTGTTTATCCCTGTGACTTCATTACTAACCTCTGGCCCTCACTCAATTTTCCAACCATACTGGCTTCCATGTTGTTACTCTAATGTGCCAGTCTCTTTTTTTTTTTTTTTTTGAGACAGAGTTTCACTCTTGTTGCCCAGGCTGAAGTACAATGGCATGATCTTGGCTCATTGCAACCTCTGCCTCCCAGGTTCAAGCAATTCTCCTGCCTTAGCCTCCCAAGTAGCTAGGATTACAGGCATGTGCCACCATGCCTGGCTAATTTTGTGTTTTTAGTAGAAATGTGGTTTCTCCATGTTGGTCAGGCTGTTCTCAAACTCCTGATCTCAGGTGATCCACCTGCCTTGGCTTCCCAAAGTGCTGGGATTACAGGTGTGAGCCAATGTGCCTTGTTGTTTTAGTTTTTTGTGTTCTAAATCAAATCAAACCAGAGAATGGTTATTTTCCAGTGTAAGAATAACTGACCTTTGGTCCGGGGGCTCCAGGTTCCCCTCGCTCACCTCTTCCAGGAGGCCCTGCTTCTCCCCGTTCACCCTGTCACAAATTACAAAACACATCAATGGCCATTCCCCCCACACAGGCTGGTCCCTGTAGATTAACGAGTGAGTTGAGTGAAACAAGAAAACAGAATGTTTTCACTGATTTACCCTGTACCAAGCACTGTATTAACCTCTTACATGAATTATCATCTCATTTTATAATAAAAACAATTCATGATGGGGCTAATTTTAGGTGTCAAGTTGACTGGATTAAGGGACATGTAGAAAGATAATAAAGCATTGCTTCTGGGTGTGTCTGTGAAAGTGTTAGTGGAGAACACTGGCAGTTGAGTCTGTTGACTGGGTGAGGAAAATCTACTTTTGATGTGAGGGGGTGCCATCAAATCTGCCGGGGGCCCAGATAGAACAGGAAAGGCAAACTCTTTGGGGCTGAGAGCCCTTCCTCTCCTGTCCTTGGACATCAGAACACCAGGTTCTCTGGCCTTTGGATTTTGGGACTTGCACCAGTGGCCCCCAGGCTCTCACGCCTTCAGCCTCAGACTGAAAGTTACACTATCTGCCTCCCTGGACATGAGGTCTTCAGACTTGGACTGAGCCATACTACCGCCAACTCAGGGTCTCCTCCAGCTTGCAGATAGCCTGTTATGGGACTTCTCAGCCTCCATAATTGCGTAAGCCAATTCCCCTAATAAATTCCCTCTCATCTAGCTATTTCCTTATATAAATATCCTATTGGTTCTGTCTCTCTGGAGAACCTTGACTAATATGCAATTATTCAATGTTTGTATTATCATCCCCATTTTATGGATAAGGAAATGGTTGGGTAAATGCCTGTCAAATAGCTATGTTGGCAAATAGAAAGACCTTTAAAGGGAATTGATAAGGACCATTATTATACCTCAAGATAGGAAGGGATATCCATTTTCATTCTGCAGTCACTTTTTAAGCACTACTGGCAAGAAGCACGGCAAAGGGGTTAAGTTCCTGGCTCTGTAATCCAGCATCTTAGGTTTACTCCTGGCTCTGCCATTGACCAATTCTGTGTTCTAAGGTAAGTTAGTTAGGTTCTATACACCTCAGTTTCCTCTGTAAAATGGCTAAAGTTATAGTACTTATCTCATAACTTAGAACGTAAAAGTGTTCAGAATGGTGCCAGCCACACAGGTTTTACCGTTTTTTAATATGGTCATCTCTCCGTGAAGTATAAATACGACTACTGTCCTCAAGGAGCTAGTGATCTACTTTGGCAGACAGGAACCCCAAAACCAAAACGGTTAAGGATTAAGGAGTAATGTAAAGCCATACGTGACAAAAGGGGAATCCCCACTGGTTTCTATTGTTGTGGGTTGGATCCCTGGAGGTGAGACTTGAGTCGTGTCCTGAAGGATGAGTAGGGTTTATTTTATAATTATTGCTGTTGATGACTGTAGCATGGATGAGTGCAGGAATGGCACAAAACATGTTATATGCATTATCCTATTTAATCCTCAGGACAAATGAGAAAAGTCTTCTTATCCATATTCTACAGATGAGGAAGCCAAAGTTTGCAGAGGTTAAGTAAATTGCTCAAAGTCACAAAGCTTTTAAAGTGGGTAAAACTGATTGTACTTGATCTTCAACTTTTGCATAAATGTTTTTAAATGTAAATCTTTTGCACATCTTTGATCATTCTCTCAGGATAAATTCCTAGTTGGAAAATTGCTAGGTCAAAAAGTATGAATATTTTTAAAAACTTGCTAAATTGCCCTCCAGGAAGATGGTACCTTTTTATACTCCCTAAACACAGAGTAAAGAGTGTCTGGCTTCTTGCATAAGGGGTAGAATTTCAATAGTCAAACATTTAGAATTCAGACTGTTGATGGCATATTTATGGATGAAAGAGGTGCTCTCCTCACTGAAGGAACCACTTCATTTTGGAAAGGATAAGAAAATAGAATTGGATCTGTGGTGAGTCACGTAGGGCTTTACATTTCAAGATCCTTATCTGTATCATGCCCACTTGAGGAAGGCTTTGTGGTTTTGTAGGGGAGGTGGGATAGGTTAGCCAAGGGCTAAGAAAGGCAGGAGGCAAGAGTTAAGACTCAGTAGGTTTCTCAACAGCAACTTAAGAGGTTGTAAAAATAGAGAGGTTGGGAGAAAGACAAGGGACCTCTCTAGATACAGGAGACAGACACAATGGGCCAGAAACAGAAGGGCTTTCTGCTTTTTTTCATCTCCCACCCTATCACCCTGTTGAGTGAGACTAAGAAGCTTCTGTTGGTATATGAAAGTTATTAAAAAACTGTAAATTATTTGGCATTTCTTTTAATAATTTAAGAATTACAGAATAATTATAAAGCAGTCCACTATGAAAAATAAAAACCCTTAAAAATCATTTATCTGTAGTTTGCACAGGAGCGAAGTCTATACGTCTTTACTTTTAACATTTATATATTTTTAGAGAGGGGATCTTGCCATGTTGCCCAGGATGGAGTACAGTGGCTATTCACAGGCAGTATCATAGCATACTGTAGCCTCAAACTCCTGGGCTCAAGTAGTCTTCCAGCCTCAGCCTCCTGAGTAGGAAGGGGGACAGGTGTGCACACCACACTCAGCTAGAATCACTTTTTGTTACAATGTCCCTAATTAGTTCCCTGTCATCCTCTGAAATTAAATTATTTATTTGTTTACTTCTTTCCCTCCTTCCATCTCTTCCTCATTCACACTGGAATGAAAGCTTCAGGAAAATAGACACTGTTGCTGTTACATTTACTTCCCATGCTCATATACAGAAAAATATTTGGTAAAAACATTGGCAAATTAATGAATAAACAGTATTAGTGAAAGTATTCTAAAATATCTGACTATAGCCTCATTTCTTTTCTTCTTTCTTCTTCTTCTTCTTTTTTTTTTATTGTGAGGTAGGGTCTTTATTTTTTTAATTTATTTTACTTTTGGTGCATATTATATCTGGCGAGATAGGGTCTTACTCTGTCACTCAGACTGGAGTGCAGTGGTGTGATCTCTGTTCACTGCAACCTTTGCCTCCCAAGCTCAGGTGATCCTTCCACCTCAGCCTCCTAAGTAGCTGGGACTACAGACATGTGCCACCATGTCCAGCTAATGTTTGTATTTTTAGTAGAGATGGAGTATTGCCATGTTGCCAGGGCTGGTCTCAAACTTCTGGGCTCAAGCAATCCGCCTGCCTCAGCCTCCCAAAGGGCTGGACAGGCATGAATCACCATGCCCAGCATCCCCATTTCCTTAGACTGATACAGGTCCCCCTCAGGTACTAATGTAGGTAGAAAAGATGCAGCATTTTTTAATGCCATTACATATCTTTATTCATTATGAGTTTCTCTTCACTGTGTTGGGAATAAGAAACATAGTCCCATGAGTTGTTACTTTATAAATCCGAATTTAGTGGTACAAATCCAGACTGCCTACACTAGTGGAAGAGTGGTGTTGAACTGAAAGAGACTTTTAAAATAATCATGACTTTCCCATTATGATACTGAACCAACCGTGACATTTATACTTAACATATGTAGATTCAACACAAATTAGATGTTCAAATAATACTGATGTGTGTATATGTGTGCACATGCATGCTGCTGTTTTAACGCCTGAGTTAAGATAGGTAATTCAGCTGACAACCTCAAAATAATGTTAGTAAAATGAATTTCCTATCCATATCCCTTCTGTGGAAATACAAAATAGGTACAGTATACTCTTTACTTTTATTTGGGGTTCAGGGTAGTATCTGTTATAAGAGTCTCTGGTCTATAAAATCATGCTAGGTTCTTCATAACAGTAATTAGTGTTGATTTTATGGCTCTACATCTGGATCTTTTTCTGAAACTGCAGAATAGTTTAAAATCAGGTAACTAAAGAAAAGATATTTAGGAATGAACTCTATTCTCTCTTGCTTGTGTTTTTTCTATTTTCTCTTGTACAGCAAACAAAATGCCACGTTTTCGATCCAGTTCACTCCTGGCTCTCTCCTTCCCTGACCAGGTCTCCCTTTCTTTGTGTATCATGCCCATCTGCGAGGCTGCCTTTTTGCCTCCTCTGGCTCTGAGGCTACAAACCTGAATAAATATAACAGCTCTCATATTAATAGGGAATGCTCATTATTTTCTTGCTTTCACTCTTTTTATTCCAGAAAGACATTTCTTGTGTGAATCTGCGCAGGCTAAAATAGGCATTCCTCATATTTTGTTAATAAGCCTGACGGCTCACTATGTGAAGAAATTTCTTAAGAAAAACAATTTTGCATAATCCGATGGCATTTCTGTCCCCCCCTCACAGGACATACACAGTTTCCATTTACTAGGTTTAAGAGTTATTTTCACTTGACCAGCAGAAATGAGGATGCTTCTGTCAGAACAGACCATGAACATACTTCTGCAACTCTTGGAAATCATCCCTGGATTATTTCTGTTGAATGCAATACACATTGAGGCAAAGACCGCTATGGTTTAAAAATAAAAGAATGTAGTTTGATGTAATTTTGACCCTTCTTTGATTCATGAGTCTGTCATGAATAAAGTTCCACCATCAGAGCTGCACTTTTTATGTCTTTCATGGTAGATGAAAAGAGAACTCTGGGTCTGACTATATTCATAGCAGCATATTTTTTTTATATGGCGGCATATAGAGTTTGCTTTTAGAGCCCTCTCTAGGGTTGCCAAGTAGAAGATAATGAGATGGTTTTCATTATAGAGTATTTTCACAGACGTTATTCAGGGTAGATCCTTTTGGGATGAGGCACTTAGGAATCTATATGACATCAGTTCTTGCCTTTGAAATCTAGGAAGTAATGGGAAGCATAACCTTTGATTTACAAGTATATCCTGAAATTGGTGACGAGGAGCAGGAGTTAATAAGTTCTATCTCCACTCCTCAAAATTCCTCTACCTTTCCATATAGCCAGGAGGTTAACAGTATCCTATTAGTTTAGGAGCAATCTGGGGGACAAGTGGAACAACTAATGTATTCTACCATCCTGTTGTCTTGTCTAAGGCTTTCTAGAAGTAACTTTTCACTACTCAATATTGAACATAGTGGTTCCATTAGAAGTGTTAGTAATGAGTGGGTTAAGCTGCTTTCATTCTCGATTAGGCAAAAATATCTGGTCACCTAAATTATGGAGTTACCCCACATTTCTTTCAATATAGTGGACTAAATATATATGACAAAAAATTCAGAAAGAAAGAAGAAGGAAGGAAGGGAGGGAGGGAAAGAAGAAAAGAGAAAGAGAGATAAGAGAAAGAACAAAGGAAGGAAGGGAGGGGGGAGAGAGAGAGAGGAAAAGAAAGAAGAAAGAAGAAAGAAAGAAAGAGAAAGAAAGAAAAAAAGAAAGAGAAGAAAGAGAAACGAAGGGAGGGAGGAAGGAAGGGAGGGAAGGAAGGGCGGAGGGAAAGAAGAGGGGAGGGAGGGCAGGAAGGAAGAAAGGAAGGAGGGAGGGAGGGAGGAAGGCAGGCCGGCCACTTACTTTTGTTCCCGGTAAACCTGGTAAACCTGGTTCTCCTTGAGGACCAATGAAACCTGGTTCTCCCTTTAAAAACATGGGCATATGAGATTGTTAATCATTTGATAATAAATAAATAAAGCTAAACTCATTTTCTTCTATTGAGATTTCACTTCCTTGATTGTATATAGCTTTCTTGCTGAGATCTAGCTACTGACTATAAAATTAATCAAAACTGGTTTTGATCAGTGAAGACACTTTGAGCAAAACTTTGGAGCAGCTTTAAAAAGTAAATGTGACTAAGTAATCAGATAAATGTCCTTCCAATTTCCTTTCTAATCTGTTGTCCAGTGTTTCTTACCACTTACCAAAACAAGCTGCATTATGTTTGGGTGAATGTGGCAGGTAGCCTCTAAAATGGGCCTTGATAATCTCACCCCCTGTTGTTCATGCCCTTGTGTAATCCTCTCCCCTCAAGTGTAGACTGGATTTGCTGACTCACATCTAATAAACAGATGGCAGAAGTGATGGGGTATCACTTCTGAACCTAAGTTGTGAAAAGCCTGTGGCTTCCATGTTGGGGGCCCTTTCTTGTTCTAACTTGGATCACATGTTGTGAGGACTGAGGTCTGCCAGCAAGCACACGTGTGAGCTTGGGAGCAAGTGTCTCATCCTTATGGAGTCCTCAGATGAGACCACAGGCCTGGCTGACGGCTTCAGCCATCTCATGGGAGACTGAGCCCGAAGCACCTAGTTATGCTGTGCTTGAATTCCTGTCCCTCAGAAACAATAAGATAATCAATGTTTCGTTTTTTTGGTTGTTGTCGTTTTGTTTTTTGTTGTTGTTGAGACAGAGTCTCGCTCTGTCGCTCAGGCTGGAGTGCAGTGGTGCAATCTCGGCTCACCACAACCTCCAACTCCTGGCTTCAAGCCATTCTGCCTCAGCCTCCTGAGTAGCTGGGATTACAGGTGCCCAACACCATTCTTGGCTAATTTTTGTATTTTTAGTAGAGATGGGGTTTCACCATGTTGGCCAGGCTGCTCTTGAACTTCTGACTTCAGGTGATCAACAACCTCGGCCTCCCAAAGTGCTGGGATTACAGGCATGAGCCACCGCATCTGCTGATGTTTGTTGTTTCATGCCACTAAGTTTTAAGGGTATTATGGTAGGCAGCAATAGATAACTGATGCAATGAATGTTGTTAGGGAAGAGATTTGGGAATGTTCAGCATGAAAAGAAAACTCTCTCTCCTGGCCATACCTCCAAAACCTTGTCTCCACTACTTAGAGGAAACTCAGCAGTAAAATAAAAATATATTTGGTCTTGGTCCCCAATTCCTGGCACCAACCTCCTAAAATGGAATTTTCTGAGTGATAGGAATGAGAAGGAGCATCTTTTGTTATTCAAACCAGTTCCTTTCAACCATACCTGAGTCTATATCACTGAGGTTACTCTTATGGGTGCCCTAGACAGCTTCAGGATAGGAACTGGTTGCCAGAGGGCGCAACGGTATAAAAGTGTGGGAACTTTCTGCCCTACCTCCCAGCCTCTGGGGAGGGGACAGGGTCTGTAGGTGAGTTCAGCCACCAATGGCCAATGATTTAATCAATTATGCCTACATAATGCAACTTCCATCAAATCCCCTAAACAACAGGGACTGGAGAGCTTCTGAGTCACTGAGCACATCCATGCGCTGGGAGGGTGGAATGTATCAACTCCACGGAGACAGGGAATCTTGTGCTCTGTTCTCTTATGGACCTCGCCCTATGTACTTCTTCATCTGGCTGTTCATTTTTATTAACTGTAATAGTATATAGCATCTTCCTGATTTCTGTGAGTTGCTGTAGCAAATATCAGTCCTGAGTCAGAGAGGGTATGCAAACCACTGAATCTATAGCTGAGTTAGAAGTACAGGTAACCTGGGGCTCAACATCTGTGGCTAGTGACCAAAACAAGGTCACTCTTATAAGACTGAGCCCTGCCGGGTGCAGTAGCTCACGCCTGTAATCCCAACGCTTTGGGAGGCTGAGGCGGGTGGATCATCTGAAACTGGGAGTTCGAGACCTGCCTGACCAACATGATGAAACCTTGTCTCTAAAAAAAAAAAAAAAGACTGAGCCCTTAAATCTGTGGAGTCTGATACCAACCAGGGGAGCTAGTGCCAGAACAGGATTGAATTGTAGGACACCCAATTGGTGTCAGAGAACCAGAGGGGTAGAGAATTAGTGTTGGAAAATACACCACATATTTGGTGTTGGAAAATACTCGAGATCAGTGTTCACATTATCTTGACTATCCATAAAGTTTTATTTTCTTTTTAAACTATTTGAGGTCAAATATAAGAGTTTAACTACCCAAAATCTATAAGAAAATTTTAATGCAAAAACCATAATGACCTTGTTCTCAGTTCCTGTTTTTTCCCCTCTTGGATTATTTCTGAAGCAGTTGTTAATATTTTTAAAATATATTTGATTTCTTTCTAAGGCAGCAGTATTTCAACCTTTGTTTCATACTTGGAACTGAGCAGGAATGTATAGAGAAAATGTTTTATAAGACATGATAAAATGTTGGACTGGGCACAGTGGTTTACACCTATAATCCCAGTACTTTGGGTGGCTGAGGTGGGTGGATCACTTGAGTCCAAGAGGTTGAGACCAGCCTCGGCAACATAGGGAGACTCCAGCTCTACAAAAAATATAAAAAATTTGCCAGGTGTGATGGTGCAAGCCTGTAGTCACAGCTACTTAGGAGACTGAGGCAGGAGGATTGTTTGAGCCTGGGAGGTTAAGGCTGCAATGAGCCGAGATCATGCCACTGCACTCCAACATGGTTGACAGAGCATGACCAAAGAAACAAAACAAAAATTTATACTAAAATGTCATCAAATATTTTTCACACAAGTCAATTTTTCAAATATGCTATAAAAAACCTTGGGTATTGGACAGGGAACAAAAGGATATTACCACCATCAGACATATTTTGATATGTAACTCATATATTTTTATCTCTAGCTCTGGTGCTCATGAGACTGATCTAAGAAAAAAAAGGCAGCAGTGGGGAACTAATGCTTTAGGTTTACTGCTTGCACATTTTCTGTAATTCCCTAATCTACCTGCCCCATACTCTTACACCTATTAGAAAGAAGAATCTGAAAACATAATTTTAGGTGGATCTCTTAATGGTCTAAAATGAAAATCTGAACTATATTCAGAGAAATCAATGGCGATTATTCTACCTCTAGTAAAAGAGTTTAACTTAAACAAAAACCTTGCAAAGAATACATTTGTTTACATGTAAAATATTTCCCCTAACAAAATGATATATACAAATAAATAGTTCCTCTCCATCCCAAGAGAAATGCTGTGTTAAAGTCAACGTGTATCATTGGTAACAACTTACTGTCAGGGAAATGTAATGCAAGTTAATAAGTTGAAAGTTTACAGGGAGACAAGAACTCTTGCATATATTCAAGTGAAAATAACATCATCTCACTCTTTAGCAAAACACATAGATGCACCATTAAAGCACACTAATAAAAGAGAAGAACAAAGAATAAATGTTGCAAAAACATATTTCTTATATAGGTTAGTGTTTAGTTTATAAAAAGATGAAGCATGCAGGTACATAGTTCACAAGCAAATAGATAAGGCTTTGTGATCTCAGCTGCCAGGTAAAAGTGTTTTTTAAGTAGAAGATATATTATGTCCTTTAGTAAGTGTATAGAAAGTTCTTTTTTTTTAATGTGCTGGCTGAAAGCATCAATAGTTCTTTTAAACAGAAAATTCATGGGAAGAAGTTTGTTTCTAGATACAAAATTAGCAATGCATTTGACAATCTCAATGATTTTAGCACAATTAATATTGATTGGCTAATTTTAAAGGCTTTGAGTATGAGAAGTTATACCTGATCATGCCACTGTAAGGATGTATCTGCTATATTTATACATTCTGGTACACTTCTTATTTTAATTCATTCACATACTTAATTTTAGGATCACAGTTTTTGTCTATTTACTTCCAGAGGTCTGAGTCACTTTAGAAATATTATCTCCATTCTCTCTATATCTTAGCAGGATGGGGAGGAGTTAATTATTGGTCTCTTTTCTCACTCTCAGGCTTCAGAAACAATTGTTGAAATAATTAAGGCATGGATATGCTGACTCATGGTCTTCAGCTAGTTGGGCTATTTCTTCCTTCCCGGAGTTTAACCAGAGGTTCTCAAAGTGTGCTCTGGGGACCTCTGGAGATTTCTGGACCTTTTCAGGGAGTGTTTAAGGTCAAACTATTTTTACAATAACACAAAGACATTATTTGCCTTTTTACTTTTATTCCTTCACGAGTACACGGAGTATGAAAAGTTCAATAGGCCAGGCGTGGTGGCTCATGTCTGGAAACCCAGCACTTTGGGAGGCCAAGGCAAGCAAATCACTTGAGGTCAGGAGTTTGAGATCAGCCTGGACAACATGGTAAAACCCCCTCTCTACTAAAAGGACAAAAACTAGTCGAGTGTGGTGGTGTGCACCTGTAATTCTAGCTACTTGGGAGGCTGAGGCAGGAGAATCACTTGAACCTGGGAGGCAGCAGTTACAGTGAGCTAAGATTGTACCACTGCACTCCAGCCCAGGCAACAGAGGGAGACTGTCTCAAGTAAACAACAAACAAAAAGAAAAGTTTATTATATGGTTCTAGATTTCGCATTGCACCTAACCTTTAAGAAACTACCACTTGTGGGGTTTAGGATAATAGCAAAGAAAAACAACAACAATTCTCTGAATAGGCTAACCTTCCCCTGTCCAATTACATGTTTGCATGAGGCCAGTTTTTATTCACATACTTCAACCAAAACAACAAATTGAATGTAGAAGCAGATATGAGAATCCAGTTGCCTCCTATTAAGTCAGGCATTAAAGAGATTTGCTATATACATATCTCCTTCTCTCTCTCTCTCTCTCTCTGTGTGTGTGTGTGTGTGTGTGTGTGTATAATGAAACCATAATGACCTTGTATACACACACACACACATAATCACATATCTCACAATGCCATTTTTCCTGCTCTTTTTAAAAATCTTGTCTTAAAAAGCAGTT